AAAATATCTAATTAACCATTCATAAATTCACACTTGAGTTCCATTGAATCAGACTACAAAGGACTCTACTCAGACATAATTGAAATCTAAACAAGAGAAGAAAGATAGATCAAACTCCATTGTCATGATAGTTGAGTCTTCAATCTCCAAGTACAATTACATAGGAAATACTAACTATTACAAGAACTAATCCTAAAGAATTTGGAAATTCAGAGAGAATGAGGAGTCAGATCAGATCTATGAAAGATCTGATCTGATCTCCCCTCTCCTAGTGTGATGGGCCAGGTCAGATTAGAATCTGAGAGAATATGATAGGATATGAAGGCTCTTGCCTTTTATAGAATTACAAAATACAACTGAAAAACAACCAAAAACTGACTTGGGCGCTAAAACGCTCATTGTGGACATTTTAGCGCTCAACTTTGACGGATGCTTAACCACTTTTAACTGTCCTGAGCGATAAACATTCTACTTGGATGTTTTAGCGCTCAAGACCAGGACCTTTTTGCACATCAGAGCGCTAAAACGCTTGACTTGGCCGTTTTAGCGCTCAGCACCAGCACTTTTTGGCTTCATTTTGCAGCAGGGCGCTAAAACTCTTGACTTTGGGCGTTTTAGCGCCCAACACTTAGAATTTTCCCATTCTTCAGAATCTTCTTCCTTCTCTCTTTTGCTTCATTGAGCTTCATTTCCCTACAAGAACAATGCAAATTTTCAACAAAGCTTTCAAAAACTTGTATTTAGGACTTTCTAGGACATTAACCCTCTTTTCCATCCATTTAATCACACAAATTAAGCTAATTCATGCTTTAAAACACTATAAACTAAGGGTTTATCATGCATCGATAATGTTATTTTATTAATTGTTTAGCGATGCGGGTTCTTACAGGAATGACCTGTGTGTAGGCATTTCTGGTATGACCAAGCTCAGTGGTACCTTGCATTGGAGTTACCTAGAGAGGGAGCTTCAACAAGGTAATCATTTGGTACTAGGGTTAATCCACGTTTGTCCTCCATCATGCCCCTTGGGGGTAGTGGTTGGAGGTGTAGGATGATAATGTGTTATAACATGCTCATGCATAAGTATATATATTAGGTACATAGGATGTACTGTTGACGTGTGTTGTCGAACCCATACAAATTACCGAACTTAGATTTGTAGTGATAGGGCAACTCGGATCGTCTCCCAAAGAATGTGTTAGAAATCAAAAACGTTTTGTAAATAAAATATAAAAGGGGGATTTTGTTGATTTAATATTTAAATAAAAATAGAATTAAAATTGGGATTTGAAAATCAGAATTAAAAGCAATCAACCTAAGGAATTAGGATTCATTAATTTATTTCGTCATTGGATAAAAAGATATAATTATCAATTCATGATTAACGCCAATCGAATTAGGAATCCTCAAATTCAATTGGAAACCCTCTCTAGACTATCGCCTAGCGTTTGGTTGAATACAATATCTCAACTATGCGATCGCAGTAGTTTTGATCTGTTCAACTTATGTTCATCAGCTAAATTAATCTGACCATTAAATCTAATGATCAATTTTCCCTTATAGAATGCAATCACATTATTCAATTTGAATACCTACAATAGCATGATATTCAACCTGAAGTGGGAAAAAACAAAATTGATTTAAAAAATTAAAAACCTATCCTCTGAAATAAATTAACGAACCTTTAACCTTAGATTGATTAAAGGTGTTTAGCCTAGCATCGCGAGGTTAAACATCATTCAAAATAAAATTGAATAAAAGAAGAAGAAAAAGATGAAAAGAAAAAGTGCAGAATTTCGATAAAGAAAACTGAAACAATTGTTCAACTCAAAATCTGACTGCCGAAAGGTTTCCTAACGTTTCCCTTAAATAATCCACATTCAGAACGGGTTAGGGTTTCACCACTTCGGCCCATACATAAAAAAATAATAAAATAAAATAAAACATTAAAACATGGCCTTGGGCCCTAAACACATTGGGTTATAATTAATTTACAAGTTCAAACGTCAAAATAAAATTCCAACAAAAACACATCATCTTGGGCTTCAGTGGCTGAAATAGAGATTGTAGCCCTTCCTGTTATCTGCAAAATGCAACAAGAACAGAGTCAATCGGGCATCTGTAGATTGAGATATGTCCAAAATACAAAAGTAGTGTAAATTTGGAAAAATCTGACGAAAATCAACTAACCCAATTAAAATCTAGAATTCTGATTTGACCCAAAAGACCTTTATTTAATTCAATTAAATCCTAAAAATATCATCCAAGAGTAATAAATAAGTGTAACAAAATATGTGTTATCAAATATGTCTCTGGCCAGTAGATAGTTTGCTTCGGGCGTTACGGACTTCCACTGGATAGGTCTCCATGAGGGAGTTTCAGTTGACCTGGGGTCATGGAGATATTATCCGTTGAGGAGCACTCTAGGAAAGTCTTGGGTGTATTGGTGGTGGGTGCCTTGGTTGATGTTCTGGGAACACTTCCTTGGATGAGAACCCATAGGCTATATGCCGAGGCCAATAGGCCAGATGTTGCGTGGCTTTGGCATTGAGCATCCCTACTTCACTAAATCTCTTGCTTTATCCCTCTTTGGTTGTTATAGTACATTGTTGATTTACATCTGAGTGAGCCATTGGGCGGAATGATCTCCAAAACCTCTGGGTTATTGAGATATATTCGTATATCACACCCCGTGTTGGAGCATTTATTTCAGGTAGTAGCAGTGAGGCTGGAGCTGTGGGCAAGAGGCTCATAGGATGAGCACATGGAGATTTGAGCACATTTTATATTTTGAGGCCATTTTGGTATAGGCTAGACTTAGGGCATGAACATTATATATGGATTTAGGATTATGCATGTGTCATATTTGTTCATACCATATTTTGTCTAAGTCTAGTTGTATATTTATCATGTTGTATTTGAGGTTTAATTATTGTATCTTGGAGGACTTATTGTATTATGCTTTTCATTGGATAATTGTAATTTATAAATATTGGTCCTTGTGTAATATTGAAGCATGATGTATGATGAAAGGACAATAGGCCTATTTTAAGTTATGATTATGTGTATGTTGAAAGAATGCATGAATATGAGTAATGTGATTGAAATGGTTTAAGTTTAACAATGTAAGTAATGATTTGTAAGTTGAGTAAATTGATATAAATTGTTGTGGGTTGTAAGTGCACCAAAGCATTGTTGGTCCTTGGGTGCCACCCTTGTCTATTAGGTACCATTTGAGGATAATAACACACTTTTTATAAAGTGGGATAGGTTAAATAAACAAAGGAGATGCCGTCGAATTTTCTATAAAATGGCAGATTTTGGGTGAACTTTGGGAGATCATATCTCCCTCCACAGAGGTCCAATAGAGACGTTCCATACACATTTTGAAGTATAAGATGTCAACTATGTTGTGTCAAAATTTGGTATCCATTGGAAATGTGCGCAGACCTGTAGAGGCATTTGAGTCCAGACTGTTCAAAACGCCCTGCTGCAGGGGCTGTCAAGAAACCGGTTTTGGGAAATTTATTTCTCCCTCAATCCTTGGTCAAATTAGGCCCATGATATGTCAAATTGAAGCTTAAGATGAATACTTTACTATATAAAAATTTGAGAGCAATTGGTAGAGTAGATTGTTCAGAATCGCAGAAATGGTAAAGGCTGTTTGGAGCCCTATTTGAGGTTAGCTGGCAGCTTTGCTTGTCCAACTTCAAACGGTGACAACCGGAGCAAACGAGAACTTTATGGAGCGTGTGACAGCTTTTGAGAAGATAATTAAGTTTAGAGTAACATACTAAAATATGAGAGACTCGTAATCACTAAATCTCTCGCAATATTCAGATTACTGAACCATGTTTAGTTAGGTAAAAACCGTAAAAGTGAGAATTATGCTAAGTGGATTTATGAGAACCCCTTAGTGAGATGAGAGAAGTATTATATGATAGTTAGGCAATTATTTTAATTATTCCGCGTTTAGATTTCAGTTATGATCAGAGCTTTTATCATTACGTTTATTATTGATTTTAAAGGAAAAAGCTTAAGTAATGAAAAGGAAAAAGCTTACTCGCATATTTAAATGAACTGATGTGATTGTAATTGCGTTTAATATCATAATCAATGTTAACAACACCGATATGTAACAAGCTGTTACAGGTTCGATCCTTAGCCATGTGAGAGAGGTTGTACCCATGATCGCGTGATCTCTCTGCCTCGAGGGAATTAGTCTTTGGCTTTCGGCTGGGGAATACCCTTGGAATAATTTCCAAAAAAAGTTGAAGTGACAGAGACTTTGTAAATAGAGCTGAAACTGAACTGTCATAAGTATGACTTCAGCTTGATTCATGAAAATGTCATTTTGGCACCAAGAACCAAAAACACTTGAACTGATTATACACTAGAAATGACAACAACCTGTTCATACGTCAATATTGTTCATCACTTTAAAAAATTCATTTCCTGAGTTACAGACCTCCAATTGTTATCATATTAAAATTTATGTCATTTTAAAGCCTCGGAAGTCTACTTTATCATATTAAAATTTCAAATCATTTGGCAAAGATTTCGAATTGATATGAATTTTACAAGACAAACAGGTTTTTTTGTTTCTAACCCAACCAGTTCCGGATCATGATGATTTTGTTAACTGTTTACGAAATTTTTATGCTTTGCACTCCAACAGGATTAAACAGACATTCTCCGAGACACGTACGGGTAGGGATGGCAATATGAGAAGATCAATAAAAGCTCTAGTGAGAAAACTTGATTTGAAGGAAGATCTAGAACCCAATAGTTAGACATAGAGGAAGACCTAAAAACAAAACTCTACATAAAAGTACTAAAAAGAACTTGTATCTAAACGGTTTTTCTAAACCCTTGTTAACTGGTAGACAAAGACTGTCATGAAGTGGAAAAGCACCTTTAGTAGCTCATGAATTTTGTAAGGATGCAAATAGATATCATTAATTAAAGAATATATGAAAGAATTGTAAATATATCCCTACAATCGAATCAGGCAAATCAGGAATTAGGATTGGAATTACATTTCCGATCCCTTTTAAAAGCATTTCACTACAACAGAGCAATAAATTCCTGACAAACCTAGCAATCCAATGCTCATGCACCATCCCTAGACTAAATTATATTTAACAAAGTCTACTAAACCTAAGCCAGACTTACCGCTCATCCTCTTCCACCAGTTCAAAAAGCTACTTTCTAAGGCTGATACAAAAAATATTTAAAAACTGCATTGTTTAGATGGCTGAAACCCTTGGAACATCAACTGGAAACTGGTGGATCTCATCCATCCAAGGGCTCTTTTCCTTTGCAGGGTTGATGGTCCTAAGAGCCTTCCATACTGCACTGTTGCACTTGAATCCAGAACCGAATGCTATTTGCCATGTTCTATCCCCCTTTTTGATTCTTCCTTTGGCTTCTGTGTAAGCCAATTCATACCAAAGTGAACTGCTGGAGGTGTTTCCAAAACGGTAAAGTGTCATCCTTGACGGTTCCATATGCCAAGGAGACAGGTGCAAGTTCTTCTCCAGTTCATCCAAAACAGCTCTGCCTCCGGCATGGATGCAAAAATGATCAAAAGCTAGCTTGAAATCTGGAATATAAGGTTTGATCTTCATCTTGAAAAGTTTCTTCCCAACTAAAGTGGCAAAGAATAGCAGCTGTTCTGATGTAGGAAGGACAAGAGGCCCCAGTGTGGTGATATTGGTTTTTAAAGCATCACCTGCAACTGCCATCAGATCTTTTGACAAGGTAACACCAACCTTGCCATTGGCATCTTCTTCTTGAGTAACACAGCTAAAGCACTGGTCATCAGAAGCCTTAGTAGTGCGAACAGTGTGGACCAATCGGTATTTGGATCTTCTCCTGTCAGAGCTTTTGTTGGAAAGCAGAACCGCAGCTCCTCCCATACGGAATAAACAATTTGAAACAAGCTTGGATCTATCATTTCCAGGATACCAATTCAATGTGATATTCTCCATGCTAATGACCAATGCATAGGAATTGGGATGGACCTGGAGAAGATCTTTAGCAAGATCAATTGAGATAAGCCCTGCACTGCATCCCATCCCACCTAGGTTGAAGCTCTTTATATTCCCTCGAAGCCTATAGTGATTGATAATCATTGCAGAAAGTGATGGGGTCGGGCAGAACAGACTACAATTTACAATCAGAATTCCAATGTCTTTAGGCTTCACAGAGGTCTTAGCAAATAACTCATCAATGGCACCAAACATAACAGCCTCAGCTTCTTTCCTAGCTTCTTTCATTGAAGGGTTGGGAGGAGTGGTTAGGAGAGGCTCTGGAAAGTAAGTATCTTCCCCAAGCCCAGATCTCTCAAGGATCTTCCGTTGGAATTCAAGATTTTCCTCCGTGAAAAAATCACTCATCTGGGACTTTTCCATAAACATCTTTTTTGAGCATTTCCGAGATTCTTCAGGCTTGTAACAGGAGAAATTGACAAGGTACACTGGTCGAGGACGGGTCATAAAGTATAGGGTGGATAAAAATACAAGGAGAGTGGAGCAAAGAATAACAGATATCAAGTTGTATTGTAGATGCTCCCAAATATCATAAAGATCTTTGAGGGAGAAAGTGGAGAGCTGAGCAGCAATGAGCACCACCAGGGGTGAAAGAAACAGGTACATGCCATGCGTTATGAGGTAATGATAGCCAAGCTTAACATACTTCAATTTAACAGACAGCTTGAAGTCTGGAAGGTTCCGCGAAGATGGCGGCATCAAGGGTGTTGTATCTGGTTTTGTCTCTGCCATTTTTTTCTGCTGTTCAAAATTTGAATCCATTTGGTTAGATAACTTTCTTAAAAAAAAATATGAGATTCAAATGAGCATTTATGCATAGATAAAGGTTAAACTGCTATTAGTGCTATATAACTTATCAATGATACAGTTCAACATAGTGCTTGTAAATAATCCTTTCTAGCAACAATTTCTGCTTACTTTTTTTTTTTTTGTTGGGGGGGGGGGGGGGGCACAGAGCACTAAGAACATTATACCAGATGCTACATGGGGACCAAGGTAAGCGAAATTGAAAAGGCTAAAATCAAAAGTGCTGAAACGATTTAAAAACTCAAATTATAGAAAATCTTCATGGAATAAACATAAACCCTTCAATTTATCCTTCCTTTCTACACAGGAGACCTAAGCGCAAACCCAGATCGGAATTTCATATGAAATGGGCATCCATGCATATTTATGTAAATTATAAGCTGGCGCATTCATTCACATCAAGAAATCGATATCTTCGAGGTCTCATGAAACCAATCTTTGCTAGATAAAATTAAATAAAGAACAGATCCATAAAAACTAAGCGTTGAGAGGGAAGCAAAGGCATCATCACGAACCCAATAGAATTTGCAAGCATGGGAAGAAATAAAATGCGGCAATCAAACAAAATCCAGTTCCTGGAAAAAAGAAAAGACGAAAAAATTGTACCTTCAAAATCCAAAACCACCGGAGAACGCAGGAATGCCGCGCGACGCGAGAATGGAGAAACGTGGGTTAGATAGACAGAGATTAGGGAATGAGATAAATAAATTTGAATCAGCAGCTTAAAATGTAAAAAATAAAATAAAATAAAATAAAATGTTCAGTGCCAGAGAGTGAGGGACGAAACTAAAGGGGAATTTTTTAGAGAAGGATATGTTATGTTTCATAATATTACATAGATTATTACCTTCTATATAGTTGTTAGAGAGAAGGGTGTGGCATGTGGGAGGGAAGAGAGTTCGAAACAGCGATGTGGATGTGCACGCGTAATGAACCCATTATTTTTATTCAACGGGCGGCGCAGTCCTGCTTTGACTATTTGATGCACAGCCGCTCATTCTCGTCAAATCTCACGGTTGCGATTGCAGAACAGTCACCAAAATATCACCCTTTACTAACTTTTTTTTATATAAATGCCACACGAACATTATTATTTTCTAATCTGTCACGAGACAAGTTTGCTATCGGTGTAGCAAACTTGGTTTGCTGACGTGTTACGTTTTTAGTGGACACCAAGTTCGCTACCCAATGTAGCAAACTTCAAAAAAAAAATTTAACTTGGTACTTGTTATCCACTAGAAATATGACACGTCAGCAAACCGAGTTCGCTACATCGGATAGTGAACTTGTCCCCGTAGCAGATTGAAAGATAATATTGTTCGCATGACATTTAAATAAAAACGTTAATAAACAGTAGTATTTTAGTAGGTGTTCTTGCGATTGCTTATCCTACCCACTGTCATACTTTTCTTTTTATTTTGTTTTTATTTGGAATAATTTTATGTCAATCAAAATATATAATTCACATATTCGATATAATTTATTTTGAATTTTATTTTGTTTAAGTTTAATATAAAAAATTTATACTATTTTCTATTAATATATTATTAATTTTGTTAAATTACTTGAAAATATATTATTAAATGACATGTATAAAAAAATTTAACATTGATAATATATATAAATTAAACTCATTAATTTTTATAGATTAATATATGTTTAAAACCAAATAATTAAAGGGAAATAATTTTTTTACGTTGTAGAAATATAGTTATCTAGTGGGACCCATAGGTAAGAAGATAGAGAAAAAAATGGGACTAAGGATGAAATTGGATCGAGCCGGCCTACAGGGGCCTATGACTCGGCCTATATCAGGCCAGTCCTGACTTAATATATTTCGTAAAATAAGGCGGATTTGGGCTTTGAAAAAGCTTGTTTAATAAAAAGGTCGTAGGCTCACTTTCACAAGGCCTGACCTATAAGCCTACAGGCCAACCTATATTATACTATTTATTTTAAACAAAATAAGTATGCCTTGAAGAAAAAAGAAAAGATATAAATTTAATCAATTGCAATTATTTATAATTTAATTATATTTGATTATATTTTAATAGAAATCTGAATTTATTTCTTATGTAGGAGGAACCAACATCTCAGCATGTTAGATTGTGTATATGAATATATTAAAAGATTTTTGGGAGAGGTTATACTTACTACAAGCATCATGATGTGTTTGTTGTATTCATGTAGTTATCTTAATTTACATAGTATGGATTTGTTTGTTGGATATGATGAAATATATGTTATTTAGTTTGAGCATTTTGCTTTTGAAAGTGGCTTAGATGCAGATTGTATGAGTTTTGTTGTGATTCATGATTCTGTTCGGACGTTGAAATTATGATTTTTGATTTAACAACAGAATTTGAGTATTTTGTAAAGTTAATTCATGGTTCTGCTTGAAAGTTAAAAATTAATAGACCAACGGGCTAGGCCAGGCCATTTGTTTTTTTATAAACGGGCCAAGTCAGGCTAATAGTTAGACTCGTACTAGCCTTGGGCCAAGCCAAATTGAATTTTTTTTTTTACGTAGGCTTGGGCTTTTCGGGACAAAGCATGACCCAGCCCAGCCCACTTTCACCCCTAAATGGGACTCATTCATGTTTTGTGGGTGTAAAAAATTTAATTATCTCATGTAAAATGAGATAAATATAAGCCTTAATTAAAATAAAGAATAGACTTCCTAAATTAGTGCGCCAAGGCTCTTTGATTTCCAATTTTGTTTGTTTGATTCTCTTAGACATGAGTAAATTGGGGCTTGGTTGACCTAGAAATCTCAATGCCCTCCTACGATTCTTCTAGAACACCTCTATTTTAAGTTTTACTTAATTTTATTTCTGTAAAAAAAATCTCCAAAAAAGTTATATTTAGAATGATTTTAATTTTTTAGAAAAGGATAAAATTAATATTTTTAATTTTTTTTAAAATTGGACCAAATTGTATGCAAAAAGTTTATTTTAGTATGAAAAATATATAAGAATATTACGAAAGTTAATACTGTGTCCTATTTTTAAAAGTGTGAGACCAGATTTATTAAAAACTCTTTTTATTTGTATAAAAAACACTTTTTATTTATAACCGTATAATATAATATGAGAAAGAATATTGCGCTTTTATATATATATATATATTGTAAAATATCAAGATCCGAGAGATTTGTGACTACTCTGTGTGTCTAAACTACACAACGGAGGTTTTATTATATAACTGGAAGGAAAGGAAATACAATGAGAAATACATGATGTGGGACTTCTAAACCACTATTCTTAACACTCTCCCTCAAGCTCGAGCATATAAATCGTATGCAACAAGTTTGAACAAGAAAGACTAATAAATATAACATCAAAATAAATCTCCTTCTGAATGAGGAAGCAAAATCAACAGTGTGCTAAAATGGCTTCAGGATGGACATCGATGAATGAAAGGGTGCCAGGATGGTCATAGGCTAAGACATATATGCTAGAATGAACATCAGCAACATGGACGGTGCAAGAATGAACATCGGCAAAGACAACTGCGATGGAATGACCATCAGCATCATGAACGGTGTCGGGTTGAACATCGGCAAAAACAGCTGAGTTGCTAGAATGAACATCAGCAACATGAACAGTATTCCCCCTGAATGGGAAACTTCTTAACGCTCCCCCTCAAGATGAAGGGTGAATAGCAAGAACACTCCATCTTGGGAAGAAAGAAGATTAGAAATGAAGCTTCATGGAACATAAGCTGGAGAAATTGGTAGTAATGCCATTGAAAAACTAAATGCTTTTGAGATGCCATAATAATCATATTTGTTATTGAATGGTATTTCTATAATTATTGAAAAATATTATGTAATTGTTGTTTTTGAGTCATTTTTAATGAATATTTCATGATCTTGATGCTTAATATGAAGTTAGTTTGACTATAAGTTGACTTATTGGCTCTTTATGATATATAAATGTTTTCGCACTTTTTGATGTTGACAAAAAAGAGAAAATATGTTGAGATTAAGAAATATTCTCTTTGTTTTAAAATTGATCAAAAAGGGGAGAAATAATTTCCTAAAAATGTATATGATAAATTACCTATTAAGGGAGAGAGCACATTTTTAGGGGAGCACATTGTAAGGGGAGCTTAATTCTGATTTCTTATGCTACTAACTCCATTTCTCAATGAACCGTTTGTCATTATCAAAAGGGGGGTTGTTGAACCATAGGTCACCAAGATCAAGATGTATAGTTTTGATGATTAACAAAGCACCAACTAGCTCAACAAGCTTGCACAACATGAAAGGCGGTGCAACAAGTCCCAAGTGAAGTTAGAAGGCTAAGACAACATGTAAAAGTCGAGAAATAACTTCAAAGTATAAAGTCAACTCTAAAGTCAAAGATTCAAGGGTTGAAAAAACCTAGAAGACTCAAAACATGAAGCCAAAGAAGATTTCTGAAGACTCAAGCTTATACAATATATAAAGTCATTTTAGAGTCTATAGAGTTTAGAGGGTTGAGTTTATTGAGCTATATCTCATGGATGCAATACATAAGCCTTAAACTCATGCATTAAAGGAACCCTACATACATTATCCACCCATACATAACTCACACATGGAACACTGTTAGATTAATGCTAGAAGCATACATACATGTGTGAGAAGTGAGTAAAAATCGATTAGAAATCAATTGTATCGAAATCTGGATTGCTGTTTAGAAATATCCGGGTATGGATATCTGAATATCCGGATATTGAAACCCAGAATATCTGGATATGTGCCTGATAAATATTCGGATATTTCGCTGGTCACGTGAGTTATTGTAAAATTAGTGGTGTAACGACTATAAACGGCTATCTAATCTTTTCTACACTTATATAAACGATCAATAAGGGTTCACAAAAAAAAGGATTAACATAGAAACACATCAGAACTCAAAATTTGAGAGAATTAACACCAATTTAGCTATATTTTGACATCCTAGAAAATAGCTCAATATCTCTTTCATCTTTCAATCTTTTTTAGATCTTTCTTTTTTCGTTGAACAAAGGGAGATTGCTCATTTACTATTTGAATGATTTGGACTACTGTAATTCGTTCCTGATTGATTGGAGAAACCATATAGGTGATAGGTTGAGAGAGATTAAAGGTTTGATCATGGTTCTTGTAAAAACTCTTTGTAAAATGATTTTTCTGGCACCAGTTGGAAGCTATAACATAGTGGAAATGACAACCTCAGTCTGGATGTAGCTCTCAACTGGTTAGAGAGTGAACCAAGATAAATTTTGGTATGATTCTTCCTTTCCCTTTATCTCTTTCAATACCACTGCATAATATTTGTTATTAGACATCATCTGTATGTTTTAATTAAGTTTTGAATAAGGGAAGGTTTTATTTCTGTTTAATTTTGTTTTGGGTTGATTTCTTATTAAAGGGGTTATTTTTCATTGATTTATTGCAAAATAAGTTACTGCATAACTCACCCCCCCCCCCTTTGTGCTTCTACATTAGCCATCTTTTCTTTACATTTGGGGTTAAAGACTGTACCTTTGTTCAGATTAAAACTCCAGAGAAAATGCATTCTTGATCATAACTTGAGACTTGAAGAACATAAATCCTCTGATGGAAGTACACACCTCCTAGTTGTCTTGTAAGAGAAGAATGCTTCTTCAGACACCCAATATTCTTCAATAGAGGTCGCTAGACTTTGGAGAAGGGAGGAGGATGAGTGCCGCCAATTGTAAGAACCTGCACTGTTAAATTAGGAATTTAAATGATTTAATTATGTTATAAAAAAAATGATTTAATTATGAGTTTAATAAATAATTCCATAAATGACGTCGAATAAATATGG